CCCTAATATATGCCAGTCGAGGTCACTCTGAATGCCCTCTCCAGCCAGGTTTAAGCTCTGTTCAGCTGCAACAGACAGATCAGTAGGACTGACCGATGTGGAAGCAATGAGCAGAGAGCAGATATTAGCATTTGGTTACTTGGTAACTCTTATTTAATCAATACATACTTTACATTTTAGATCCCAGTGGCAGGATAAACAGAATGGAGGGGAAAACATCAAGTGAAATAAATCTAATGGTTTATGGGACATTTTTATCTCAAAATGCACTGTGGGTCACAAATGAGAGCTTGATTGTGATTCCAAGAGTTTAATTATCAAATAGATGTGCAAAACATTTGGTGGCTAAGAAAGTTTGTTTCAGTGTCACAGATATTCTAATATATATGGACTATCTATCATCCTGAGTACTCAGTTTTACTATCTACCCAGAAAGAAGCATGAGAAGGGGTAGTGTGAAGAAATTGAGTCAGATCAGACCCCCTTTGTATGTCAATTGAGTTACACCATGGATGAATTTGGCCTAGGCTCTTCTAAAAAAGTAAAATTATTTTCTACCAGACCCTAAAGGGGCATGTCAGGGCTTGACTGTGCTCCAGGCCAGCAGTACCACCTAATGGTGGTAATCCAAGATGCGACGCCTAATGGCAAGAGTCCAAGGGTCAATTTCTCTGACCATTACAGCTCAAGGAAGCACTGCCTATTGTGAGAATCCAGAGGCTGCTCCACCTAACGGCTACGGTTCAGGTGTAGCGTCATCTATGTGTGAGAGTGGGGGTGGATAGGGGAACCTGAACCTACCCTACTCCACCAGGTTCCGACCCAGGGCCCTTCGACCCATCATCGAGGACTCAGGGCCTGATACCGCAAAGCACTCTCCCTGAGTCACTGCCTACCCTTGCTCCAGTGCTTCTGGCGTCATCATGGAACAGACATGGGATCCTCGTATACTCCCCTCTGATCTGTCCCTGGCATCTCTCCTGCTGGCCCTGGTGAGTCATCACCCTTGGCTCTCAGGGTTGGCCAGCTCCCAGTGGCTTCGCTATGAGATTCGGACCTGGTGGCGTGGAGCTTTGGCGGCTTCCTGGCAGGAGGCTGCTGCACCCAACTGCGGTCAGCCCAGACTGATCTGAGTCACACCCTTTTAAATGCTCCCTTCACTGGGACCCTTGGGCCCAGACCAGCTGTTTAACCCTTGCCTCCCCAGTGTGGAGTTGGTAATACCCTGTTACGGGGCAAATTCTCCATTCTGATCGGCAGTGTAGGTGGCCTACCCACAATGCATGATCCTCTTGCATATTCTTCCCCGAATTTGCTCATAGGAGAATTCCATGCAGAACGTGCTGTACATGATTATAAATGAGCACTGTGGATCAAGGCAGTGAACTTTGCTTTAGAACTGCCCGGTGTATACAGAGCCAGAGCCAGTGTTCTGTCTTCATCAAGTAACTTCTATTGTATTGTATCAGATCTATAACTACGTTTGATATTACGAAGTTTACGGTAACATTTGCAAACAGCAGTTGATATACGCCCTCAGTGCACAGGTGAATTCCTACTGACACTGAAGGGAGTTGCAGATACGATCAAAGGACAGTACATAGCTCTGTGTCATTAATGAAAACTTTTGCAGCAGATTAGTAATATAGAGCATGAAAAGTGCATGGCTCCCAGGCATGAGTATGAGTGACCCTCATGGATAGCAATAGGAATATTGTAGGTTCCTGCATGTTTCTTTGCATTCTATTTTCCTTTACTATGGACGATTGGCCTCATGATACAATGTGTCTGTAGGTATCAACAGAATTAAGAACTACATGCTCTGAAATAAATGAAAGCTGAGCTCTTTCTGTGTCGTTTGATTCATACGAACACAGTTTTAAATATTATCAGACCATTGGTAATTGCATGGCTTCCATTACCTTTTTTTTGAAAACACTCCATGACAATGCCTGCACACTGAAACAACTGTCAAAAGAAAAACTAATCTTCATCCTTCTTGTTAGAGGAGACACACAAAAATTCCCCTTATGAATGATTTTCACAAGAACATGATTTTTGCAGGCCTTCCTGTCTGATAGATATTACAAGTAAGAGCTAGGCTGTATTCCATTCTGTGGGTGTCCTGCTGTGTGGGGATATCTTTCAGGGGTGAATTTGTTTCTCCAGAGGCAAAAAAGTGCTAGTACACCTTTCAGGGTTAACTAGGTGGTGGGGGCAATTAATATTTTTTCTGATGTATTACGTGATGGTGGAAAAATCACACTTTACCATCACAAAAACTCATCTTGCTGCCTACAGGTGCATGGCTAAATTATTAATGGAGGGTACACAGAACCACTAACGGTGGAATACTGAATGAAGGATCAGTTGACACTCAGGAAGTTGGAGAAGATATGGAAGACTCCCTTCTAATTAATCACCTTTCTGTTTTGTTATACTGATCTGCAGCTTCCAGTTACAACTGCACCCCTTGCTGTATGCTATTACGTGATTTTGTTTTCAGATTGTTCAAGATTAAGTTACTTCATTATTAATATATATGCACTGTGCATGAACATAAATATTATATATGTACTTGTGTGTAAACCTATTGGAAGTGTTAATAGTTAAGATAAACTAAGTCCATTATTGCAGTGTGTGACTATTTCTATGACCCTATTTGCAATAAAACCAGATTCAATGATATGAGAAAATTGCTAGGTTTCGAAATAATTGAACCAGGCCAGATGAATCCCCACAAAGGCATCATTTACAAAGTACTTCGCTTGTCTAAGATATTAATTCCTGCTGGAGGAAATGGAAAGAGAGTTCATACAGTTACACTGCTATCCTCTGGGCGTAAAATGGTTTTATTGTGGTATGTTTATTTCCTAGACATCTTCCAGTGGGGGACTGCAGGAAAGTACGGTATGTGCGGTCAGTCCTTTCGAGTAGGCTGCTCATGCGTATTCACTGGGAAGTCATTCATGAGGCTTCGGGGTTGGGGTTTTTTTTTTTTCATTTTTTTCTGCTGAGCAGATACTTAAACCCCTTTTTCTTGTAAAGACACATATTTGCATACAAAATGGGAGCCATTAAACTCTGCATTTGTGAACACAGTGCGCTCTGTGCGGCCCTACTCTCCCCCTTCTGTTTCAGATAGGAAATAGCCATGGTAACCTGTGGAGGGCGTGTTGGCTTTAATGATGAAAACTTCACTATAGAAATCGGCCTCAGTCCTCAACCACTGGCTAACAATATTTTTGTTTTGTTTCAAAAACATGGTTAGTTGTTGACTCTTGAGTACTTGTAACAAACAGCTTGCGGCAATCTACGGACCTAGAATTTAGTCCCAGAAATTATCCACCGTTTACATCAGAATAATGAGTATGTTTACAAAAATCACGATCTGCTCATGGGCAATTAGCAAAGCGAGAAAGAGGTGAAATTCATCAGACAAACGCTTGGTTCGGAATTAGTTGTCCAGCTGTACTTCTGACATACCTTGAGTGAAATGAGATCAATGCTTTGATAGGAAATAACTTAAAATAGGATGATGAGGTTTGGAGAGGACACTCTAGACCTTTACAAAGTAACCTGTCCCGATATAGTAACACTGACTTCTTCTTTCAGCATCCCCTTAAAAAGCTCACTGCAGTTATTTGCATGAAATCCTTCCTATCATACATTAAACTCCGTTTGATTCTTAATGTATATGCAATTTTAGGTGACTAATCTGCGATCAAAAACACTTAGCAGGAATGGATCAGTCGCTGTTCTGAAGTTTGAGCTTATCGCATTTTTTCATGCTGGAACATGAGGGCTCAGGTAACCACTGCTTATTCAGACATTTACAATGATTGCTGTCAACGTTCTCAGCATCGAGAGGTGAATAGTTAGAGTGGCACTTTTAAAGGATCCTTTCTTAGAGCTGATTGGCAATTTTGCAACCATGCTATTTTTTTTTTTTGATGGACAACGGCTTTTCAAGTGAACTGTTGTCTTATTGTTGTCAAAATTTATTTTTGTTAAAATTGGAGGGGGAGGGTGTCAAACTGGTAAGTGTTTTTTTTTATTTTTTGAGAACATTAAAACCTTTTTTTTTCCAACCTAAAACTGTCAGTTTTCATTTACTGAAAACCAAAAAATGTTTGGGTTTAACTTTTTTGAAGACCCCTCACCCCAAAATCAAAAACAAATTTTGTAAATAATGAAAAGAGTTTTGTTTTCATTGAATTTGGGGGGTTGGGGGGAAGAAATCATTACCCAAAGTTCTAATGTCTAGGGCTAGATTGCAGCTTGACCTATGCATCTGTGCACGAGAATAAGCTTGAATGAAAGATACTCCCCCCCCCCATACACTTCTACATGGGCTACATTAGTATAGGGGTATAGAGGTAAGGGAGGATATTCACCTGCTTATTACCATCCTGGGGCATGTGGGTAGGGAATGGGTGGATATTTGGCTCCACCCCCGTACTTGCTGGCCAGAGTAGCTTAGTCAGCATATGGATGCTGGTATAGACCAGCAGCAAATTATGACACCTTTGAGGCAAGGAGGAACCGAGGGAGGAATTGTGACTTAGTACTTCTGGGACAGTGCAGTTTATACACCCTTCCTTGCTCAGGGCTGTGCCTCATGTCAGAACCTAGCCATATGGCTTCATACTGATTTGGGCATCTGTTAAAATTTCATATAAAAATCCTACAAACTAGAACCTCAGATGCGCTGAGGGCCTCCAGGGAGCTCCTGGGTAACTTCATCTCCCAAGGAAATCCCTGGTAATTGAGGCCCCTTGAACCAGGAAGCCCTCAGCAACCTGCCTGCATAGGGTCTTATATGAACAGATTTAAGAAAGACATTTCCCCCCTAAAGAATGTGTTGATACAGCGCAATTCAGGTCTTCCAGACACAGTGAAATCCTTGCAAGAGGCATCAGAGAGTGGATTGCCAGAGTTTTAGAAGCCCGGTAGCTGTTAGCCCCCTGCAGCATGAGGAAGAGTCTTCGGTCTCTCCGATGTACAGGAAAGAGAAGGTAAGGCGAATATCTGAGTTACTTCAAACAGCTCTATTTACATGCAGCTTTCAGTGGAGAATCCCAGCTCATCAAAAACTAGCTGCCGTCCTAATCTGAGTGCTGCTTTCCTGTCTGCAAGTGAAAAGCAAACTTCATTATACTGTCATGCTTTTAGCCCACAGTTTATATTTATATAAATGGTGCAGTCATTTGGCAGGTCCTCAGCTGGTGTATGTCAACAGAGCTTTATCTTCAGTGAAAAACGTGAACACCAGCCCCATCCCCAGCACAGATTTCTTCCCCTGGTGTGCCAATGCACACCATTGGAAGGAGAGGACCAAGGCTCTGTCCATTTCCCACCCTTGCCTGCTACAATGTGCAGGAAGGAAAGTAGCAGCTCCACAGAGGCTGTTCTTCCTCTCCCAGTTGGTGAGGTGGGTAACAAGAGGACAACACACGCCCCATTCTCCCCTGCTGAGATTCATTATCGCACCAGTGTAACTGAGAGCAGAACTAAGCCCACTCATCCCGCTCAGTAATAAATTTGCCCCATGTCTAAGGAGTATTTACCAGGCACTGCTTTGTGGGGATTTCACCAAGCTCTGTGGAAGAGCCTACAAGCAGAGTAGGTAGGCATGCCATCATGGATAAATAGCCCCGGGAAAACAAAACAATAAGCTCTGCTTGTGCTATTTATGCAGTAAAACAATAAAATATCATATTTCAGTGATCAGCACTGGGGTTTTTGATGGAAAAATGTATATTTAATGATGACTGGCCTTCACTGTTTGACAAGGGGCTGTTAAAGCCCCTTTGAGAGTGAATCACATCTCTCTTCCCAACTAAAATTCTATCAATGATTTTATTATAATATCTGTAGAAAATTCTAATGTTAAAATCCCACTTTATTACTATAATAATGAATCTAATTTGTGAAACGTGTAAAGTGAGGCCATAACTGTACTGGAGAGAGAGATATGTGATCCCACTACAGCTAAATCATTTCCTGATGACTTGCGCCCACATATTATCAACAGAAGCAAGATTAAGAGCTGAGCTATTTGCAAGAGTTTGAGATTGGGCACAGTTTCTAAAAGGAAAGCCCAAAATAATCATAGAAATGCAACAGTCATTGTGAAAAACACAGCCTCATTTACATGCATGGATGTAGAGACATTTTGTCTGTGATCTACTCCATCTAACTCCTTTCCCCTTAGCAGAAAAGCCTCACTTTTCAGTTGCCTATCCAATAATATCAAAGTGGAATTGTTGGATATGTCCATATTTATCTTAAATTCACTTATTACCTATTCCAGCTACTTGTCCTGCATGTCTATTCATTTGCTGGTGGTTCTTTTGGAGAACATGCAATGAAACAGAAAGGCAGCAAGTTTAAAACTGATAAAAGGAAATACTTTTTCATATGCATATCTAGTCAGTGGAACTCACTGCTGTGATATATGTTCCAAAAAGAGTAATTCTTGCCTTTTTATGTTTTAACCAAGTTCTGTTCTGTCATTCCTTCTGGTGATGACAAGTTATAGTGAACTCTAGATCTATGACTCTGAAAGGAAGTGCAGCGTTACTTCGCTGTAAATACTGCAACGATCTGAATGTAAACAATGTCGCAACAAGTGTTTCAGATCATGTCTTTTTAAGGACATCATACAAATACTGCATAGCCATATAAAGTTCAAAACTTCATTCAAAAGGCATTATTTCAGTTTGAATAATGGCGTTTTGTGCTTTGATCAATTATCTAGACGAATTGTAGTAAATGTCCGCCTTCAATACTGAGAAAAAGGCCACCCGTGAACCAAGCTGTGAGTGAAAAGCGAAAAGCAGAGAGAAGGGTTCGATTTCGTGAGCCAGAAATCACTGGATATGGTATGTTTAAGATATTAAAACTCTTTATACTCTCCCAAGAGTGGCATTCTTTCCAGTGTTTCCACATCTTTCCAAATCCCTCTCCTCACCAGTGTCTGTTATCATTACTCATTGTGTTATCTGTGTAAATCAGGAAAGTTTCTTGAGGCACAATCCTTCAGCACAGGTGGTTATGATCCACCTTTCTGCCTTCCCTAGGGGCAAAATAGGCCCTGGCACAAGTTAGAACAGTCACAGAGCTATTTTCACTGACCTCCTGGAACAGTCCCCTAAAGGAGCATTCTAACAGCTCACGATCGACAGAGCAGTAGGTTCTGGTCACATCCCTTTTTCCCCCTTCTCATCTCATCTCATCCCATCCCATCCCAGAACACCCCCTCAGTGGCCCAGGGATGGAGGTGGTGCCCCTTTAAGAAAGATTTATGTGCTGTTTATGTCACTCCGAAGCAAAAGGGATTTAGCCTGGGATTTCAATGGGCGTTGGTCAGGTTCATGTTATCTGTGGGGCTTTCTAGTCATTCAGGATTTGGCACATGAAAGGATCCAGTAAGTTGCCCCTAAGTTCTGTGGATGTCCACTTAAGTGCTTAACACCACGTCTGAGGAGAAATTATTCTTTCCCATCTCACTCCCAGCATTTATGTCCATAACAACAGTGACAATTGCAATAATCTCTCTCTAGTGCAAGTTGGGCAGTGTGGAATGGAATTCTAAGGGATCTGATTCTCCTCTCATTTAGAACCATAGGACCACAGGGTTAGAAGGGACCAGAAAGGTCACCCAGTCTAACCCCCTGCCAAAATGCAGGGTTTGTTGTGTCTAAAGGCAGATGGCTATCCAGCCTCCTTCTGAAAACCTCCAGTGAAGGAGCTGGATAGCCAAGGCAGTCTGTTCCATTGTCCTGCTATTCTTACAGTTAGGAAGCTTTTTCTGAGATTTAATCTAAATCTGATATGCCGTAGTTTGAATCCATTGCCTCTTGTTCTGCCATCTGTGGCAAGAGAGAATTTTTCTCCATTTTTATGGCAGCATTTCAAGTATTTGAAGACCGCTATCGTGTTCCCCCTTAATCTCCTCTTTTCCAAAGTAAACATATCCAGTTCCTTCAGCCTTTGCTTGTATGGTTTGAATTCCCTCCTTTTAATCATCTTTGTCGCTTGCCTCTGGATCGTTTCCAGTTTCTCTACATCCTTTCTATACTTTGGTGACCAAAACTGAACTCGTTACTCCAGCTGAGGCCGTTCTAAGTAGAATGGGACTGCCACCTCCTATGCCTCTGTTAATACAACCTACGATTGCATTTGCTTTTTTTTTTTTTTTTTTTTGCAGCATCATCTCATTGCAGACTCATGTTGAGGCTGTGATCCAGCACAACTCCCAGATGTGCTGCTGCTAAACCAGTTTTCCCTCACTCTGTATTCGTGCATTTGTTTTTTCTTCCCTAAGTGTAGCACCTTACATTTGTCTTTGTTGAATTTCATTTTGTTGTCCATAGCCCAGTTCTCCAATTTATCAAGATTCTTCTGAATTTTAGCTCTATCCTCCAAAGTGTTGGCAAGCCCCCCTCCCCTCAGCTTTGTGTCATCTGCAAATTTGATCAGTCTGCTCTCTATACCTACATCCAAGTCCTTAATAAAGATTAATAAAGAATAAACAACAACAGACTCAAACCATATCCCTGTGGAGCCCCACTTGAGACCTCCCTCCAATCTGACATCATTCCATTAATAGATACTCTTTCTTTGCAATTGCTTAACCAATTCTGTGTCAACTTAATGGAAGTTCTGATGAGCCCACATTTCTCCAGCTTACCTATCAGCATGCCATGTGGAACTGTGTCAAAAGCCTTGCTGAAGTCCAGGTATATTATGTCCACCACTTCCCCCTGTCCACCAAACCAGTTGTCCTATCAAAGAAGGAAATCATAGACTCATAGAATATCAGGGTTGGAAGGGACCTCAGGAGGTCGTCTAGTCCAACCCCCTGCTCAAAGCAGGACCAATCCCCAACTAAATCATCCCAGCCAGGGCTTTGTCAAGCCTGACCTAAAAACTTCTAAGGAAGGAGATTCCACCACCTCACTAGGTAACGCATTCCAGTGTTTCACCACCCTCCTAGTGAAAAAGTTTTTCCTAATATCCAACCTAAACCGCCCCCACTGCAACTTGAGACCATTGTTCTCCTTGTTCTGTCATCCGCTATCATTGAGAACAGTCTAGATCCATCCTCTTTGGAATCCCCTTTCAGGTAGTTGAAAGCAGCTATCAAATCCCCCCTCATTCTTCTCTTCTGCAGACTAAACAATCCCAGTTCCCTCAGCCTCTCCTCATAAGTCATGTGTTCCAGTCCCCTAATAATTTTTGTTGCCCTCCGCTGGACTCTTGCCAATTTTTCCACATCCTTCTTGGTAAATCAATGCCGGCTGTTAGCGATCGCTCTTTCATCCTCCAGGTATTCGCAAACTGAATATTTTATACGTGCTCTAGTAGCTTCCCAGATATCAAAATTAGGCTGACTGGTCTATAATTCCCCGCCTCCTCCTTTCCCCCCCTTTTAAAGATGGACACTACATTAGCCCTTCTCCAGTCTTCCAGGACCTCTCCTGTCATCCATGAATTTGTAAATATTATTACTTGCACTGGTTTCCACTGAATCCTAGAAATGTAGGACTAGAAGGATCCTCCAGAGGTTATCTAGTCTATCCCCCCTGCTCTGAGGCATACCTAGCCCACCCCTGACAGGTGTTTGTTTATTCTGTTCTTAAAAACCTCCTATGTCAGGGATTCCACAACCTCCCAGGTAACCTGGTCCAGGGCTTAACTATCCCTATTGTTAGAAAATTTTCCCTGATAATTAACCTAAATCTCCCTCGCTGCAAACTAACCCATCGAATTACTCCTGACTCATAATGAAGTGTAATTGAGAGGAGAATTGGCCCCAGGTTTTTTTAAGACATGAAAAATTCCCAGCCTTTCACTTCAAGAGCCATAACAAATTTTCTTTATTGCAAACAGCCTGTGATTAAGCCTCCCTTGCTGTTTGTCCACACAGTGCTATTAATACAATTCAGTTAGAGGCTGGTAGGAGAAAGCTTGTTGGCGCCACTGACATTTTTCCATTCTCTGTATGTTCATGCTGGGTTGTGCTCGAGCGGCCCTTGCCAAATAGGCACCATTCCGGGATATTGTTAGATGAGGAATCCATGTTACAATAGTGTTTGTTTTAAACTTAACTTCCTACCTCAGCCTGCTGGTCTGTCTCATTTTCATGCTGGAAATGATTCAGATGAGGCGTTCCTTCTTGGCAACGGCTACGAAACCTCTCATCCCAATCACAACAGCAGCAGTCTCTGGATCTTACTTTCCTGCTCCATTGCTGTCTGTTTTCCATTTCTTCCTGAAATGCTTCTACCGTTTCACACTTGCCATTTTTAGGTAGCAACTTTCACTTATTGGGCCAGATGGCCCAGATTCTCATCAGGCCTCCTATCTCCTATTTCACTCTGCTACCCTGAGGCGACCTTGGTTAACGTGTAAGAACATTTTCATTCTCTTTTCTAGACATTTCCTGCTGGGACTACAGAGTTGGTAAGTTGACGTTTTACATTATAACTGTGAGCTATCCCTGGCACTAACCTGAGATTGCCTACCTGCTGCTGCGATTAATTGTGCAGCGATACTTCATGAATAGGAATTGTTCATGCTGTCCGTGTTTTTGTGTGTGCGTGAAGCACAATATGTGATCAGTTCTGCTTCAGTATTTTAAATCAACAGAAGGTAAGACAAGTAGAGGAAACAAGAATTCAGTCCCTGGAGCCATGTTTAATTTAAACATAATTAATACATTTTATGGCAATAAAATGGGTCCAGGTTTTTCACTGAGATAGGGAAGTGAACCCCCTCCCCAGCTAAGCTGTAGTTCTCTCAGCTGACTTCTACCCATGGTGAATATGCAGTTCATTAACGCACTGGTGACGTGGAGGAAATAATTAAAATAATCTGTTTTCTCTTCTTGTGTGTGCAAGAATATTCAAGGCGAACAAAAGTCATAGAAAAACTCCAACAAATCTGTGTGCAAGTGTTATTGACTATATTACAGGAAAATCTGGAGCCCCCCCCCCCCAACCAAGACTGGTACTAGAGTTGCCAGGTGTCTGGTTTTGAATCAGAACGCCCGGTCGAAAAGGGACCCTGGTGGCTCCGGTCAGTACCACAGACCGGGCTGTTAAAAGACTGGTTGACGGGGCTGGCAAGCTTCCTACCCAGCTTCATGTGGCTCCCTGGAAGCAGCGACATGTCCCTCGGCTCCTAGGCAGAGGGATGGCCAGGGGGGGCTCCACGCTCCACCCCCGCCCCAAGTGCCAGCTCCGCAGCCCCCATTGGCCAGGAACCCCAGCCAATGGGAGCTGCAGGGGTTGCACCTGTGGGAGGAGGCAGTGAGCACATACCGCACAGAGCCACCTGGAGCCAGTGGGACATGTCACCGCTTTCTGGGAGCCCCCCAAGGTAAGCACCGCCTGGAGCCTGTACCCTCAGCACCCCAACCCCTTGCCCCAGACCTGAACCCCCTCCTACACCCCAAACTCCTCATGTCTGGTCCCATCCGAGAGCCCGCACCCCCAGCCAGAGCCCAGACCCCCTCACACACCCCAACTCCCTGCCCCAGGCCTGAGCCCCCTTCTGCACCCCTGCCCCAGCGCTGAGCTCCCTACCGTACCCAAACTCCCTTTCAGAGCCCGCACCCACATCCTCTCATCCCTGATCCCACCCCAGAGCCCGCACCCCCAGCCAAAGCCCTCACCCCCTTGCACATTCCAGCCCCCTGCCCCAGGCCTGAGCCCCCCCTGCTCCCCAACCCCCTGCCTCAGCCCAAAGCCCCCTCCCACACTCTGAACCCCTCATTTCTGGCCCCATCCCTGGAGCCCACAACCCCAGCCAGAGCCCTCACCCCCTCCTGCACTCAAGCCCCTGCCCCAGCCTGCTGAAAATAAGCAAGTGAGTAAGGGTGGGGGAGAGCCAGCAACAGAGGGAGGTGGGATGGAGTGAGTGGGGGCAGGGCCTCGGAAAAGGGGTGGGGCAGGGGCAGGGCCTCAGGGGCGGGGCAAGGATGTTCGGTTTTGTGCAATTAGAAAGTTGGCAACCCTAACTAGGATCCATTGTGCCAGGTGCTGTACACATACATAGTTAGAGATCTTCCGGTTCTAAAGAGGCCCACAGTCTAAATAGACCAGTTTGAAAAAAGGGAGAAGAAAGGAAGTATTATTATCCCCATTTTACAGATGAGGACCTGAGACTCATAGACATGTTGCATCAGATCCTCAACTGGTCTAAATCAGCGGAGCTGGTTACAAGTGATTTGTCCCCAGTCACACAAAACATCTGTGTCAAAGCCAGGAATTCAACCCTGAGCTCTTGAGAGCTAGTCTTGTACCTTTATCACAGACCAGCTGCCTCTTTAGTATTCGAGGCCCTTAGTTGGAGCTGAAAGAAAAGGAGTACTTGTGGCATCTTAGAGACTAACCAGTTTATTTGAGCATGAGCTTTCGTGAGCTACAGCTCACTTCATCAGATGCATACCGTGGAAACTGCACTTTCCACGGTATGCATCTGATGAAATGAGCTGTAGCTCACGAAAGCTCATGCTCAAATAAATTGGTTAGTCTCTAAGGTGCCACAAGTACTCCTTTTCTTTTTGCGAATACAGACTAACACGGCTGTTCCTCTGAAACCTGTCAGTTGGAGCTGAGTATGCTATTTGTAACAAACCGTTTAGCTAATGTGTTTAATGGACCCATGGGGGGGATGGAAGTTCCATTTCACAAAAGATTTTTCAATTTTGAAATCTGGCTTGGTTACAAATTGCAGTGAAAAGTGAAAATTACATAATTCTCTGTGAAGGAAAATACCAGAAAAAAATTCATTCTGAGTTGTTCAAAATGTGTTTTAACAAACTCAGAATGTCTCGTTGTCAAATTCCACTTTAAAATTCTTTTTCTATTGTATTACGCTAGATGATGATACAAAATAAAATGTTTTGAAAAGAGAATTAATTTCAAAACAAAAAATGGAAACATTTCATTCCAAAAAGAACTTTCTTTCTTTCTTTCATTTTTAACAACAAAATTCTGGAAAAATGTACCCATTTTCACCAAGCCTTTTGATTTAAACTGAACTGCATATTCTGATGGAAAACAATTCCTCTGAAGTTTCACCACCCAGTTCAAGAATGTAGCCCTTTTTTCTGTTTCCAAATTAGACATAAGCAGACTGATTTTTTTAAAGAATTTATTTACAATTGTACAACAAACATAGTTAACCCTGAAGATTGTTTTCAATGATCAGAATTCACTTCCACTATACCTGTGCACTGTTCATTATTCATAGCATCTGATTGTTGATCTCAGGGTCTGGCTATACTTCAGGCTGGTGGCGTTTATGCCCAGCTGCAGGAGACATACCAGTGCTAGCTGTAATCCAGCTAGCATGCTACAAATAGAGAGAACAGCAGGAAGAGCTAGCTGACCTGAGTACATGCCTAGCATCTTGGATGGGTGCGTAGCCCTTCACACTACAAATGTCCCTGCAGCTATGCTTTACTTTTAGCACACTAGTTCAATCACATGGGTATGCCTCCTTGAGCTGGGAATTACTCCCCCAGCTCAAAGTACAGACATATCCTCACACCGTAATTTTTTCTGCTCCCTCACTGAAACTTTATAAGCAGGAAGTGAGCATTTCCAACATGAATAGGGACTAACGAATACCTACATTTATATATGAAGTGTGATTCCCTTGTTGCTCTCTGCGTGGTTTACATTTGTGTGATTTATAAACCCTCTGCAAGAACTTCAGAGGAGAGGGAATAAAAAGGCCTGAATCAAAATGGGATTCTCAATTCAGACAATCAGTTCCCAAATAATTTTCACTACTATAAGACTAACTGTGACCTTTTTATTGAAGTCTGTCACCCAGTTAAGAACGAAGAACAATATCAGGTGATTCGAGAGACAAATCACACATTGGAAATATTGAATAGCACATAGTTTCACTGAAAGAACTGGTGAGCAATCCGCAGGCTAAAATATGTTCACATAAACCTTTTGTAGAATAATTCCAAATAACAGACAAATTAATAAAAATCGAAGCCTATTCACAGATAATTTGCAAGCAGAAAGAAGGTCTACATTCAAATGAAGAAATTATTTGCTGCAAATAATTCACCCAACTCTATTAGAGAGCATCGATTTGGCTTCTGGTGAGCTTTCAAATGACTGGCTATTAACATTCTACCTTCTCCCCACACACTTTTTGATACATTATTATGTGCTTGTTGCTTGATTTTATGACTTTTACCTTCCTTTATGTACATCTGTATGACAGCTTAATTGACTGCTATGTATTCCAGGGTTGGTAATAGGAGCTAATTTAAATACACTACAGCTAACGTCGGTCCTTTACCCATAACAATACACACCACATTTTTACCTTCTTATTGATCATGTGCATATGCCAGGCAAATAGTTGCGCACTCTCATTTTTTATTCAGGCATGAATTTGGTTTTCGAGAGCACATTTAATACTCAGAGTGCTTTATAAAGTAACACTGACTGTGCAATGACCATGCAGACCAACAGAGTAGCCATTACTCTCTCAGAAATAGCTCACACATGCTGTTAAGGGGTAAAAGAAGGATGGTTTGTGGCTAAACACAAGCCTGGGAATTAAGAGAGTGGAGATCTATTCCAGGCTTCCTGTGTGACTAGATTGCCACAGCCTTTACCCAGCTGGGCAAGGAAAGGAGAGGGAGTCTGGCGCAGCAGTTGTTGTGGTAGGATATGGGGTGCGGCTGCAGAGGCCGAGGGGGTCGCCTTCGATAGTGAAGGATGGGGCTCTGGGCTGCAGGGATACAACCAGGTGAGCAGGCTGCAGTGGACACCAGGCCCTGATTTCTGTCATTAGAGTGTTGTAATCTTTAAATAAACCTAATTTAGTTGCTACATATAAATTTTTGTTACTTCAGTGCAGAGAACAAGACAGGACTAACATGCCCTCTGGCTTACTCCCTTGCTTAGACTATGCCAATGACAGGGAGTACGGCGCTCTCCGCATCACAGCTGTACTCCCTGTCATTGGCAAATGATCAGGGGAGTCAGGGAAAGGGATGGGAAGTCAGCCCCCACAACCTGCCATCCACAGTAGATGACCAGGCACACAGGGGGTAATGAGCTGTTCCAGGAGAGGGTGTAAAGTAACTTACTCCCACCCCAGAGCAGTGGGGAGGAGCTGGGAAGTACACTATGCACTGCTCCTTACTCAAAGGAGATTGTATGGTTAGAGTCTAGCTCTAAGCCTGGTGTGTCTGTTTCTTTGCCTGTATCATGAGGCTGACCCTTCTCCAATCCACTGGGGCGTTGCAAATCTCAGCTTGTCAGGCAGACAGAGTTGACACAGATGCCCACCACAGAAATGCTGACATGTAGAATAGTAACAATCCTTGCATTCAAGGTAACTGCACCAAATTACGCCAGCTGAGGATCTGGCACCTAATGTCAACACCTGTGACACCATCCAACAGAACTGGCCAGTTCCCCCTTGTTTTGATCTACTTTAACCACGGCCTGTGTCTTTGTTCCCAGCTTCCTTTTACTGCTGTTAACCTTCCCCCATACACACCATGACCTGCATACACTGCACTGACCCATGCTGCAGCAGGGAGAATGTACAATTCCTATCATAGAATCATAGAACCATATGGTTAGAAAGGACTGCAAGGGTCGTAATGCCAAAATGCAGGATTCGTTGTGTCTAAACCAGCCCAGACAGATGGTTATCCAGCCTCTTTTTGAAAGCCTCCAGTGAAGGAGCGTCTTCTCCTCTAGCTAGTTCGTTCCATTGTCCTACTTTTCTTACAGTTAGGCCATTTTTTCCTGAGATTTAACCTAAATCTGCTATGCTGTAGTTTGAACCCACTGCCTCTTGTCCTGCCCTCTGTGACAAGAGAGAACAACTTTTCTCCATCTTTTTTAAGGCAGCCTATTCCTCCAGTTGGGATAAGGCGCAGGAGCACAGTGCAAACCTATTGTACAGGTCTCTTATGCAATGAGAAGCATTGTACACCTCCAGCTATCCTCAGAAGTCAGGGTACTCTAGATGCTTGATGCCAGATCCTAGCCCTTAGACTAGAGGCACAAAGTTACTGTAGTGCCAGCTTAACTGGCCAGTGGAGAATTCCTCCTAACTGGGTGTATCTTCCAGTGGGATAGGGATGTTGTAATGCCACTTCTCCTTTATTAGCCCCCAGTTGGTTGGAAGGAGATTATGCCCAATGGCCCCCAAATGGTTGGACAGAGGGGGTTATGCCCCCATTAGTCCCTGGGCTGTCATCGTGGTAGTGATAGGATACACCATGGAAAAGTTAAACTTCATTGAAACTGGTGGGTGTACCAGGTGTTTGTCACTCAGGATACATGTACAAAACAAATGAGCTCCTTTATGGAACCAGAAAGCGGAAACAACAGGAGAACCACCCAGAACACAGGCACATGGCAAGGCTTGAGTAGAAGTTGAACTATGTGATCCAAGGAATTTGCCTGGGCACTGATATAGCAAATGCAGGTACTGGGGCAGTGATTGGTGGATTGCGTGCCTGTGTAAGAGAGAAACACCAATACCAGACACAGAGAAGGAGAAGAAAGCCAAGGGACAGCAGAACAAGCACTAAGGATGTGGCCCTGAAAAAGGGGTGAGAGAGCTTTTTGGGCAGAGTGCTGTAGAAAAGAGGCTTAGAACTATGAGCAAAGAAATTATCTCCTGTTGTGTTCAGGGAAACTGGACTTTGTATATTCTTAAATAAACAGGATTGCCCCCAAAGAAATATCTGGCTCCATCATCAATTTCTCCTCTTAGTGGAAACAACCAGCAGGATCCTGAAAACTGGCTCACTTCTTGCATCATGAAGGGGTAACAGAAAGATTCACTAAAGATGCATTCTCATATCTAAATCTCTATTTGCCCGTTATTCCTGACCAGCCCCTTCGAGAACGTTGCAATGGCATAGCCCAGCTTATAATAGACAGCAGAATGGCACCCAAGCTGTAAAATGTAGCCCAGTGATTTCCACGTGGGTAGTACACCTGACCCACAGTGATCTGAAATTCCTCAGATTATTTTTACAAGCAAGAAGAAAAGTTTACAATATATTCCTTTTCATGATTAAGCACAGCGGACTCTCCACTGTGATTAGCAAGTTTAACATTGAGAGGCAGACTGGCCCTGCGAAAGCATTGTAAACGTGCCGCTGAGTCGATAGATCCTCATGTCCTTATTTTAATTAGCAGGCCCTGTAACAAGTTAATGTTACAGGGGAAAGGCAAGTAATCTACTTCTTCTCTCTTTATGGAACATTTGTGAGCATTAAATAATTAGTCGTGGTTGCTTAATTTTCTCTAGTATTTAACCTAGTGTTTTGCTTAAATGTATAAAAAATAATTGCTGTGAGGAAATTTGAGAACATGCATTAACGATGGTAATCCTGTTCTTATTGTATATAATTAAACCCTTCTAATGCTCCATTAGATTACATCTTTCATATTCAGTAGCCTCTGTAGGGAGGTGTGACTCGCTGCCATTTAACTGATGCATAGAGAAGCACTCACAACCAGAGCACTGCTTAACCTGCTGTTTCCAGAAAACCAGGACAAAGGTAGCAGTGGGGGTCAAATTTGGGAGCTGTTTCAGACAACACTAAAATAATGCCTGTTTCTTTTCTCTCCCCAACCTCTCCCAGCACATGACAGGCCATCAACTGGATTGCCTTTGCTCCTGTGGTTTTCGCTTTGTTTAGTGCTGATCCTGGCTGTGAGTCTGTACTACAGCAGTGTGAAGCAGAATTTCAAAGTCTTGGAAGAATTTCAATCCCAGCTCGTTATCTTCTTTCTTCAGATAAGACACGTTGCTTTGAAATGCTGGACTTGGTTTATGAGGCAATAACAGTGTCACACGTGTGGAACCGTGCATAGCCCAAGACAAAGATCTTAGCAGATAACATCTAAATGCATATTGCAGCACAAGGCTCACAGCCCATTCAAACCAAACACCAGAGAATGTGCCAGCCTTCCCCTTGAAGACTAATATAGAGCTGACCCTGTGGTACACTTACCTTTTCCTGTAGCCACTTGTTTTCCATTTCTTTTATTATTATTGTATATATTACACTAACACCTAGAAGTTGCAACCAAAATCAGAGCTCCATTGTCCTAGGCAATACATAAATATCTGGTAAGAGATAGTCCCTGCCTCAGAGAGCTTATAAACTGAAGAAACAAGAAAAAGCAAAGGAACAGAAACACAGAGATTAATTGATTCAATCAAGGTCATATAGGTAGATAATACCAGGAACTAAACCCAGGTCAATCAAGTCTCAGGTCAGTAGCTTAACCACAAGACCATCATTCTGCTCTGGTTTTGCTACTGCAATATGAGCAAGCCTTACTTCTTGTGTTCAAAGGCTCTCCAATGCTGTATTTTACACATATGTGAAATGATTGTGAGTAAAACCTTGGCAGACGGTGTTCTCATGTCCCCTCAAGCTTTCTCCTATGTGGGCAAAAGATTGCTCTTGGAAATGTTTCACTGGGCTCCCCAGCATGGAAGAGAGCATGGAAACCCGTTTAACCAGGCTATGGGTATTCGCCTAATATCACACATAACAGAGTTGAATCCCAGGTTAATTATCAAGTCAGAGAATTAAACTACTGAGTTCAATTCAGTCCGTAAACCTCATGAGCCAAGTTTACATGGTTTGTGACATCAACAAACTTCTTCAATTTACTTCTAGCTCGTATTCAGTCAGGGGATCACGTATTCATTCTATGCATGCCCAACGATAGTTTAAGGCTTTGCATAATGCTACAACTGACCGTTTATGAAGGTGGAAAGGACAAAGCTCCATTGTCTTGGGAGGCCCCCCATTAATATCTTACAGTAAGGATATTTATGAAGGGGATCTTTTTAACAATGATAGTGCAATAAATGCTGAATGCCTCTTGTGTGTGTCAAAGTGGATCCCAATGTGTCTATCCAAGTGTGTCTCAGAGAGGGCCAACAAATTCATCTGGCCTATGAGACTTTCTGGACTTTATTTTCTCCGTAGGAATAAATAGCAACATCCTTTCTTTCCTGGTCTTCTTTTCAAGTAAAATTAAAAGAAAGTATTTGGACAAGTGCGCTACTGTATTCAGAAAGATAAAGACTACGTGAGAGTCTGCAACAGCAGAAAAAACCCTGCGAAGAAGATGGAAGACAATGCTTGCAAGATCACAGCCCAAAGTCCCATGTCGTGACAACCAACAAAACACTATGCAAATTATTGTTAGTTGATAAAGAATATTCCATATGGCATTGAGGGGCAACAGCACATCATCTTCCAGGCATCTTAAAGTAGGCAAAGAATTAAATCGGAACAGGGAGAAGCAACCTTTTCTCATAAAGAATGTATGCCTCTTCTCAATTGAAAACAGATGAAACAAACTACAGTATTGAGTCTCAAAAGCAGAAAGAGGTGACTTCAGCAGCTAAGTGGATGCTCACCATAGGCTGTCACAGGCCCACAGGCAATTGCATCAGACAAGCTGCCAGTTTGGGAGTCAAAGGATGCTCACATAGGTGTATTCATCCCTGTGACTTTTTACACAAACCGATTGTGTGCTTCAGTCCAATGGAGGCAAGCCTTGCTCCCCCATTTCCTTTTTTTAAAGTAATAAGGTGAGAGATTTACAACTTCTACGTGAGGTTTCAGAGTAGCAGCCGTGTTAGTCTGTATTCGCAAAAAGAAAAGGAGTACTTGTGGCACCTTAGAGACTAACAAATTTATTTGAGCATAAGCTTTCGTGAGTTACAGCTCACTTCATCGGATGCATTCAGTGAAAAATACAGTGGGCTTTTATGTGAGTAACTCATTAAAACGTTTCTTGAGAAAGGTTAGGAAATGGTATATTAGTGAGATGAGCAGGTAATTAAATAACCTTCAATCCCTCCCTCTGTCTACATAGAAGTGCCCCCCCATTTAGCTCACCTTTTCTGGAGCTGAACTGTAATTTCTGGAAGAGGCACATTGAAAACAGGGGGCTTGTTTTGAAAGGGCAGTTTATTCAGCAAGAGCCATGGTGTGGTACTGCAGGTAATACATACAGCAACTTCAATAGTCTGGGAGAGGACGTGCTAGTTTGTACCACCCTGATATGCTAATGTAATGCTTTACACCTCTCAGAAAACAAATCAGAGAGTTAAGAAGATAAAATGACAACTCCAGAATAAGGACTGGAAAGGACAAGAAACAGGGATGAAATCCACATTTAATAGCATTCTATTTATTCACAAGACGGTAACCACCTTTAAAACAGGTCTACAAATTTTTTGAGGTAAGTTATACACAATAGATTATATCAGTCTCAAACAAATTGTATTCAGCATGCATCTTAGGCCCTTGAAATTATTTAAGCCTAACCCCCTTCCTGTGAGGGAAGTGGTATTATTCTCATTTTACAGCAGAAGTCTCAGATAAATCTAATGCCTGCCCAAGTTAAAACAGCAAGTCAGTAACAGAGCCAGGAATCTCTGATCCCACAACTCCTGGCTCCCAAATCTCCTGACCCCAAATCTCCTGGAATCTCTGAACCTCTGAAAGTTGGACAGGTCACTAACTTGGGCACCCAAATCTCTTGGTTAACCACTAGACCATACTTCCCCCCTGCTCTTATCCATTCTATTTTCTCCTCACACATAAGCGGATGCCCAATCCATCCATTCAGAAGTTCTCTCACACACACAGTCTGACTCACTTGTTTATTCTCTTACTATTCTTTATTCATCACCAGATGTACTCGCACCCTTGTTAACTGGACTGGAATCTTCATTACTGATGTTGTATGGATTGGTGTCAAAAGGTGAAGGTAATGCCTTGATAGGACATAAAATCAGAAAAGCTAAGATGGTGCCAAGCAGTCACAGGACACCCATGACTGGAGTTGGAACTGAAAGGACCCACGGTTCGTGGACTGAATCCTGGATGCTGCTGTTTTTTTAATTATAGCCTCCCCCCATTGGACGTTGCATTTCTGCCTCAGCTATATGACTGAGATGCAAGTTTTTTTCTCAGCTGAAATGAGTCCCGGTGGAAGATCAGGTAATGCAGTTTGCAAAGGCTTCCAACAGTCTGCAGGGGGAATGAAAATACCCTCATAAGTCAGGAAGGCTAACAGGAGTCACCAGCCTGTTCATAATATTGAAGCTTCCCAATGAGGAGGACAGGGAGCCAGACAGTGGAAATACCACATACAGAATGAGTACATTATTAGCAATAGGGATCTAAAACATGTACTGCTAGCGAGGATCATTTTGTCCTTATGAGACAGGCAGATTACACAGACAGGCTGCAAACACTGCAGGCCAGAATCTCAGCTACTGTAAACTAGGATCTCTCTTTTGACTCTTGGAGTTCACTAGCTGAGAATAAGGCCCTACACTAAAATTAGTCCAGTAGAAGTTCAAATGATAGGCATGAAAACACTGAATTTTCAAATGATTTATTTGTGTATAGCTCTAAATCATAAAAGTGCAATGCACTGTCCAGCAAAAAGCATTCAATATAAAAACACATTCATTCAATATCAATAATACTAGGGTACATTAGTTACACTGACCCCAGTCCTGCTCCCCTCAAAGCCAGTGCAAATTTTGCCAGTGCTTTCGCTGGCAGAAGGATCGGGCTCATTATTTCCATTTTGCCAAATGTTTACAAAGTATTCTATTAAAATGCTAGTAACTGATTTTCCACATGTAAATAAACTGCATCCCTTTCACTATTGTATAAAAACAACAACCGTAAACATTATTCAGACTCTGTGGTTCTGTGAAATTGCATGCAGTTTATCCCCCAAATCAGCAGTTAATAATCACAGCAATAGATAACACAACACATGAGTGCTAATATTTAAAATATACTGGGCCATATCCTCAGTCGGTGTAAACAGGCATGGCTCCAATGATGTAAATGGAGCTACGCCACATACTCCAGTTAAGGATCTGGCCCACTCTTGGTTTTAGAGATTAAAAATTATGAAAACTGCTAAAATTGTGTCCTAAAGAATCTATTGCACAGACCTGTTTAGCAGGATAAAATAATGTTCATCTAGGCTCTCATAAAGCTTTTTCCAAGTGGATACAAGAAAAGAAGAGACAGTAGTTCACAAATATGTAAATCACAGGACATCTATCTAGAAGAGGTTCAGATGCATTCAGACTCTGCATTAAACAAGCAGTAAAGGTACACTTTAAATCTCTGCAGGCAGGAACATACTAAAGATACACCCTTTAAATCTACAATGACCTTGTTAATGTTCTCCTTTTAATAACGGCAAATTTGCAGTGATTTTGGAACACTCACTCTGTTTTACCTCACAAATCACCAGCTACACAGGGGAAAGGCCCAGTTGTATATTATTTCTTATACTTTGATTTGCCAAAGTTAAAGGCACAGCTTTCAGAGTCAATCAGAGAGATATTTCAATTTGCTCACTCAGAAAAAAATTGGATGTTATACCAATCTAAGCACTTTTGCACCAGTATAACTGTGTCTATACTAGGGCGTCATACTGATATAGTTAAAGCCCTACAAAAGCTGAGAGTAGACCAGCACATTTCTCAAAAAGACTTGTTCCACATGCAGTATGTAAAGCTATAACACTTGAATCAACACTGACCACGTGAGCAACGCTAAGACTAAAATGACTGCCACTTTTGCCTACTTAGGGACTGAAGAACTGGGACCTTTATGCTTCGAATATGAATGTTTAAATTCCTCATGTGAAATATATTAACAACTTTCTTTGCTATCCATTTGCATTCTGATTTATGTGGACACTGCATTCTCCAGTTCCCATGAGCGGTTCCTGTCTCAAATAGAGACACAAGGAATAAGGATCGAGTGGTTCTACAATGTCAGTAAAACTCTTTATAATCTTTTGTGCACTCTAAAGTTTGCAGAGATGTTTTGAGGATGAAATGAGCCTGGAAGAAGAGATGTCAGTGGTATTGTGGGTTTTTTTTTTATAAACCTGCAGAAACCTTTTAGTCCTGTGCTGTAGATCACACTATTGATTTCTAAATTGCACAGTTTGAGTTGGTAAATAGAGTATAAGTTTGGTTCACTGATTAGAGTAACATCAATTAGATGGCAGGAGAGCCAAATCTTCTTTGCAAACTAACACCCATGAGGTATCCTCAAGATCAACTGCAAAACCCTTTTTGTTTTCCTGCCCTATTTAAATGGATTTCCTTTGCAGTACCATCATTCTGCAGTGGTTATGAGCGCCAATTCAGTCTTTTCTCCCCTTAGGGATGCTATTCAGCAGGAGCTGTTCAAAGTCATTTGCAAAAGGATTTTGATGACCATAACAAGAAGAGTATACTCAGCTCTGAGTGACTTGAACATGCACCTGGGAAGTCAATGTTTAACAGTTTAAAACCACTTGGAACACTTTACCAAGGGAAGTGGCTAATTCATCATCACTTGGAGTCTTTAAATCAAGTCCAGATATCTTCCTAAAAGATATGCTCCAGTTCATGCACAAGTTATTGGACTTGATAGGGTTTGTGCACATAGCAGGGAAGAATGATTGATTCTCCTGCAGGAATTACAGGGTGAAATTCTATGGGCTTTGTGATGAAGGAGGTCATGCTAGATGAACCTTTAAGGCTAGGTTTACACTACCAGCTAGGGGTGTGGCTCCCCTGCTCATTGAGCTAGTGAGCGTATTAACAGCCGTGTAGCCGGTAGCACAGGTAGCAGGAGTGGCAGCGTAGGCATGGCTTAGCTGTGCCAAGTACATACCCAGCCTCCGCTGCTGCGATCCATGCTACTGCAGCAACCCTAAGTACTCGTGCTAGCTCAAGGAGGGCTAGTGCGGTAGTATGTCTACACAGGCAGGGGAATCAGACCCCCACCTCATAATGTAGACATAGGCAAAATAGATGGGTCAAATATTCCCCTCGCCTAACTCCTTTGACGTCACTGGCAGTATGCCAGCAGAGAATTTGGCCCCATGAACCTATGAATGTGCTTTTTACAATTACCTTCAACAGAAACAGGTTTGGGGCTTGTATGAAAGAACTGGGGAAATTTTCAAAAGAGCCTAAGTGAATTAGGAGCCTATGCCTCATTTTCAAAAGTGGCTGTGGCTTAGGAGCCAACGTTTCTCTGGAAGTCAGTGAGATTTTACTTCTAAGTACTTAAATCATCTTTGAAAATAGACTAAGTCGGATGTTTTTGAAAATTGGAACCATGATGCTTTAAACAGCTACAGTAGCTATTAGAGGTAGAAATATTTAAGAGTTGGGGTATTCACATTAATGCAATATCACTTTAAACACAATCTTTTGTCCAGACATAAGATACTCAAGAATTCCATGAGAAAACACTATTGTACAAATACTTCTCCCAATATTAGAATAAAGAGCAGCAGTGCAAGTAGGGCTGTCCGGTCCGGTCGGCTACGCTGTACTAGCAAGATATTTATAGCCGGTACAGAGTACTGGAAAGACAAGGAGCAGAATGTGCAGCAGCCCCACGCCCGCAGCACCTCCAGTGCAGCTGTTCTGCCCCCAGCCCTTCCACACAGGGTCTCCTCCGTCTGTGGAGCAGCCCCGTCAGAGGACAGGGCGGGAGGTGGGCCTGGGGGTTGCACAGCTGCACCAGAGGAGCTGCTGGCATGGGGCCACCCAGTGGCTTCACGTTCTGCTCCTTTCCCTGCTGCGGTTCCCAGGAGAGCCCTGCAGTTCAGGGCTCTCCTGGGAACCGCAGCAGGGAAAGAAGCAGAACCCCCACCCCCACCCTTCCATGGAACTGCGTGTCCTCCGGCACCCAGTAGCAGTCATGCAGGAGGACAGGGCTTGGGGGGCGAGGCTGGGGGCGGTACAGCCGCCGAAGGAGCTGCCAGCATTCTCCTCCTTTCCCTGCTGCGGTTCCTGGGAGCGCCCTGAATCGCCGGGCTCTCCTGGGAACCACAGTGGGGAAAGGAGCAGAACGAGGGGCCACCCGGCGGCCCCACACCAGCACCTCCTCCTGAGCGGCTGCTGTACTGTCCCCAACCCCCCGACCCCGTACTGTCCTCCAGTGGGCCTGGCTGCTGTACAGAGAACACCCTGCATGGAAGGGCTGGGGCAATACAGCCGCACCAGAGGAGCTGCGGGCGTGGGGCTGCTGGGCGGTCACACGTTCTGCTTCTCC